CAATTTATAAAACCTCCGAATATGGGAGCATCTCCAAGAGTTTATGCGAAAAGAAACAGATTAATATTTTTATTTTAAGAGAGTCTAAATATTGTTAATTACTAGTATCTTTTATTTTGAGTATATGAATTTTGTACTACCGGAGAGTGCAAAATTTTACCTAATTTTATACAGAACATTATAATAAAAATATATACACATATATAAATATAAATACATATACATAATATTGGAATACATAAGAGTAGAGTTTTGGAAGTTGATCGAATAGCTTTTTCTTTAATCTATTGTGTTGCCACATGTCATTTCATACAAAGGATGCGCAAATTATTCGCTACACCCGAGTGTAGCTGTAGACCCGGTATTTTTGTAATTCTTTACAAGTTTAAGCCCAATTATTATAGATTCATTTGATCTACGTGCTCTCTTCTCTCGATGCTCCATGCACACACAGTTGGCTGGACTTCTCCCTTATATATATATATATGTATGTATGTATGTATGTATGTATGTATGTATATATATATACATATATATATATATATTCTCCTTATATCAATAATTATAAAATTCTTCCCAAAATTGACTCAATTTGAATTCTATAAACATTAAAGGTGATGATAATCTGATTGAAATATCTTCATCACTCTATTTAACTAGTAACGATCTAATAGTTTAATTACAATTATCTTCTAAATAGTAACACCCACCAACTCGTAAAAATTCCGAAGTGAATTTTTGTTCATTTCTTCAATTTATGGTCTTTGTCAATGGCACAAGAATATGAAGAACTCTCCTACCTGAATATTAGAACATTCAATTAAATACTCCTTGCACCCCAATCAAATTCGTACCTGACATGTTTTTTGTGATGGTGTCATATTTTATACTCCAATCTTTCAAATTCCTTCTGATTGAGTTCTTTAGTTTCACTTTTTTTAAATAAAATTGTTAATTAATGTGTTTTAAAGTACACATTTGTAAGAAACTTTCTTAACTTGCATTATTGTATTATTTGGTGACAAAGGGTATGCTAGGATCTTAAGTTGTGAATCCAACTCAAGAGGTTGGTGTTCTTAACAAAAATTTGACAAAAGGAAAGCTCTAAATACCTAAAAATAGGTTGCACCTATTACAAGTTTAATAATAGCATATGGGTCGGATAACAATCGATAATTTTTGAAGTGATTACATATAGATGTGTGTTTTCATTTTTTTTGGAAAGCATTGAACTTATGTACAACATTGCTTTTATACTGATGTTATGAGCTCCCAAGTATGTAGTTACACACTTTTCTGATGTTTTGTGTCGTTACTATTGATATTTTTTTTGGATTTGTTCGTGTGATGCTCATATTATTGTTCTTTTCATTGCCGTGGCACAAATGGTTGCTTGCTAAATGAATTTGACATGAAACCTAGATTGTACTTAATTTTGAAGTTACATCCTAAATATTGATTATTAATAGAAATTTAAATATACTTTTCACGCCTAGGCTTCACCTATTTCTGTCTAGGCTTTAAAGGTTTGAGGTTTGACCTTACCGCCTTGTCACACCCCCACGATTTAAAAAATACCGACTACAACCCTATAAGAGTATTTTTGTTCAATAACAAATAATAAGTTATTGAAAAAATGGCATTATTTTAGATATTTAAATATTTAGTCCTATTTTGAAAAATGGCATTATTTTTAATATAATTGTGGAAATTTTCCAAAAAAGACAAGGGTCTATCAGTTCATTTAAACGCTTCTTTGACTTAAAATGGAAATAAAGAAAGTATGAACTACAAATATTTTTACTTGGGCCGGTTTCAATCACAAATCAAACTAGGCTAGATCAAAACAGAGATGATCAAACTTAAATAGATCAGACCAAACCAGAAATTTTATATCCAATTTAAAGCATCCATAAAGAATAGTATGATGGTCCCTGATAGAGGTAAAAGTCTAGAGGGGGGGGGGGGGGGGGGTGAATAGACTTTTAAAGTTTTTTTTTTCGGTTTAAAGAACTCTTCCCCTCTAGATGAGTTAATCTATAATCTTTTGGGAGATTAATAGATGCACAGCGGAAGTCTTTAACCTCTTGATTATCAGTATGAAACAACTTTCTAGTTCTGGTGATGTTTGGACTTTAAACAGTGAGCAGTTGGCTTGGCAGTTGCCTAGATGGCAGGGAACTGCTGAGGCAACTGCTAATGGAAAATAGGAGTTTGGGATTGATGATTATATGGCCCTGTACAGAATGATGAGGGCTTACTGAATATATGCTGAGCTGGAGATGAAAAGGGGTTTTGTCTGAGCAGAGGTCTGAGCAGTTGGGTAGACTCAGGAAACTGCTAGTCACCTGCCGAGTATGAAAGAAGTATTTATGAGAACTGGCAAACCAGACCTTTTAGTAGTGGTATTCCAAAGCTCGTGTGAAACAGTTGTCTCAAGGAAAAGTAAGTTATTAAGCAGTAGGATAAGCAGTAGAGTTAATTAAGACTACTGCTCAGGATGCTGCTGGCAAACTACAATCCCTTTAGTGAGAAGTGTTGGGTGTGTGCTTTGTTGAGTAAAAGAAAATCAACACACGATATATCCTGGTTCAGAGGTGGTGTAATCCTCCTACATCCAGTCCCACCCTATTTCAGATGAATTTCCACTAAAGTATTAAGCCCAATACACTTAGTGCCAATCTAGCCTTTACAACACTCAGGCCTAGATTGAAGGTTTTTCACGATGAGTATAACACCACTCAAAGTTACTCAGTCCTTAGACTTTTCTCAAATGATCCAGTGGGGATCAAGAGGTACTCTATCTATCTAACCACACTTTAGGATCCGAACAACTGTTCTCCTAAGTGTTTACAACCACTTGTAAAATACAAGGAATTTCTGGCCACCAACTAAAATCTAAGCTTTAAAAATATAACAATGTATGATCTAGTCTAAGAGCTTAGTGAAGCATGAGTCAAAGCAAAGAGTGAAGTTGTGATCAAGCACTTTCTCCTTTGCTAGATATACTTTGTGATTATAAAATCTCTTTGCTTTGAACTCAATGACTTAGTTTTTGAACTCATGCCTCTGCCTTTATTTATAGGCATCTCCGGTAGGTTAAGTTCATCCGTTGGTTGAGATGATTTAATCCTGTTCGTTGAATCTTGGTTTCAGAAGATAACAACTTGTTACTTGTCTTCTTCTTTGGAGCTGGTTGATGATCAACTTCTACGTAGGATATGTTGGCCCATACCCTAGGTTTTATCTTCGCTGTTCACCTAGTCATTAGGTATTTGACATTATCTTGCAACTACACTCGTGTAGTAAAGTGTGTGAACCAGCTATATTTGTGTAGTAAAATATGTGACTCAGGTTATTTTGTACCAAACAAATTTTGTACTGGTAGGATCTTTAAAATATCCCATAAAGGTAAAATGAAAATTACCTTATTGCATTTTGTTCTTTCCAGTACAACTTAATTGGTACAAAATATTACATTATTAATTTGTCACATATTTTACTAGTTGATCTTTTGACGTGACATGATTAATCTATGTATCAGATAAAATTATACTGGTTGGATTTAAATATCCATGTAAGGTAAAGACAATTTTACCTTATTGCATTTTATTCTTTCCAGTATGTTTTATTTGGTACATAGCTTTTACATTGGTGTTTTTATCACTTTTAGGTTTGTACAACTAGCTAGCTTAACTGGTAGGATAACAGATCTTATTAAGGTAAAAATTATTACCTTATTGCATTTTGTATTCTAGTTTAAGTAATTAGTTGTACGAATTATTTTTGTGTTCATTTGTGTTCATTTGTTGTAACAAATAAATTTAACTGGTAGGATCTATAAGAAATCCTTTTAAGGTAATAAATATTGCCTTATTGCATTTTATGTTGTCCAGTTATATTTATTTGTTAATTGTTAATTTGAACACGACACTTTCAAATAATATTCTGAAGGCTACAAAAGATGGGAGATAGCAAAACTATGGCATCATCAAAACTATTTATCAAAATCTAGGGTCTAACAAACTTACTTATAAACAAAGGGAATATACTAGAGTTTATTAATACATGTATAATATATTAAAGCAGGCCGGCCTGATTAACAGTTATTTCAGTTTGTAAGAGCTATTCGGTTCATTAATTTTGTTTGCAAGATCCGACGTGCCCATCTTATATGGGTTTTCTATAATTGAAGATGTTTTTAATTGAAATGAAGTTTTCTAGTAAAATCTAATTTGGTTTGGTCCATTTAATTCTGATCTACGTATATTTTATAATTATCGAAGTCTGACATATTTAAACGTGATCCGGTTTAATTTATTTAAGTATGGTCTTGCTATTCCGGTCCAAAAATGATGTTTGTACCACTCTTATACCCACTTTTGTATCCACCTATGTAGGCCTGTCAACAGGTCGGATACGGTCCGGAACTATAAATTTCATATCCATATCCGTTTAAATTATTTTGGTCCAGATCCGGACCCATTTACTCTTCGGGTCCTAAACATATGTTCCAAATTTGGATCCGGCGGGTCTCGGATCCAGGCTGGGTATATCCGCAAAAAAAAAACTAAATGACATATGCAAACAAATACAATACTGAGTATATAACAAAAAATTGTTCATGTTGGAAGAGATCATATATAAATAAGCAAAATGTTGTTCTATACATTACTACTTATGAACTATACAATAATATACGAAGTATGTTATATGCATATTAGTGAATTCATAGAGAACCTAGAGCAATAACTCATTAGCGAAAATCCCATTACAGTGGGTCAACCATTAACTAAGGCTGCAAATATTAAAGCATTTTTATATTTGATATTTTTCTATCATTTAACAAGTTCGGATCTGGGAAACGGTTCTAAATTCAGACCCATACCCTCAAATAAAATGACGGATTAGGATCGGGTCCGAGTCTAAACCTGTATTTTGTTTGTGAACGGGTATTCATAGAAAAAACACTTCACAAACGTGTCTGTATAAACTGGTATGAGAATTCTTCCGGTCTCATGCGGAGCCAATAAAAACATTCCAAGCCTCCCCTAACACGCGAAGCTGTATTACCCGTTTGCCCACCCCTCAGGCCCTAACCTCAACTGAGTCGTCAAGAACTGGACGGAACTTTCCCTCCCTGTCTTCCTCGCTCAGTCGATGTGAGCAGCGCTGGCTTGTTTGTTGCTTCTTCAACCTCTTGACGAAGAGCTCCACGTTGCAGGTCATTACTTTCTACGATACTCTTTCTATCTATTTATATCACTATATCAATTAGTCTAAGAAAATGTCATACTTTCGTATCTGCAATTTCCGCACCCAGCATATGCTGTTAAGTGATATGCCAATTTTGTGCATCGTCCATGCACCCTTCTATATGTGACTCGTATGCCTAGCCACTCTACAAGAGCCGCAGGTTTGGTTGCACTTCCGAAAATCTCAATAGTTACTTATTTATTCTGTTTTCATGGTTTGAATTCCATGTTCTTTCTAGCATTGAAATTGAACAGTAGCATATGCTGAGTCTCGAGTTATATGTTCATGGGAAATTTTGCCATGTTTTATTAGTCATTACTTTTTGATAGAAATAATACATGGTCATTATTAGGTCTTATCTCTATCAATACTGATTTGGATCATAAGGGGAGGGTTGTGGTAAAGATATTCTTTTTTGACCAATTAGATTTTTCATAAAATTTAATTGTTAATAGTCTGTCCTCAGTGGTGGAGACAGGGAGGGTCCGGAAGGGGCCTGACCCCCAAGAAAAAAATCTAATGTACATATATATACATATATACAGAATATACATAAAAGATCAGGTCCCTCCGGAGGGACGGGAGGGACCGTCCGAACTTTACTGTTTGGGGCGGTTCCCGGTGGAATTTTTTGATGAAATTTTTTGAACATGTTCCTCATCAAGTCTAGTTTGTCCATACCAAATTTCAGCTCAAAATTCGACCGGGAAGGCAGTCAAATAAATTCTTGAAGCTTACTGCACATTCTGCGCATATATAAAGTGCAGTAAGTTTCAAGAATTTATTTGACTGCCTTCCCGGTCGAATTTTGAGCTGAAATTTGGTATGGACAAACTAGACTTGATGAGGAACATGCTCAAAAAATTTCATCAAAAAATTCCATCGGGAACCGCCCAAACAGTAAAGTTCGGACGGTCCCTCCCGTCCCTCTAGAGGGACCTGAGCAGTCCTCTACATATACATATGTATAAATATTTATAATCAGTAAAAAATATGCTAACTTTCTGAGCTTTGGCCCCCGTAGTCTAAATTTTTTAAACACCGGCACCCTAACTATACACCTCTGGCTCCGCCACTGACCGTGCTGCTGTCTAATTGAACAAAGTGTGTACCCCACACCTGGCTCCATCCATCACGGAGGAGGATACAAAGTGCAAGTGTATTTCAAGAATGCCATGGGAATTAGCCTGCACATACATGATCCAAAGGACGTTCCAGTAATCCCATTAGGAGTCGAACCCATTATGTACCAAGCGGGTGACTTTTATTGAACCATAAAATGACCTAAAATGGGAAATGAGTAAAATAAATTGCTACAAGCTCATAATATTTAATCCAGTTCTTAAGTTCTTATATCTAATGAATTTGCTCAAGGCAAACTACCATTCAAGATCCTAGTCCACTTTTACATTGTTGTGAACAAGAACCAGCAAACACTTTAAAAACCTATATTTTGCAGTGATTTGAGGGCATCACCGGCTTGGTTTCATCAGGAAATGCAACTTTCGACTCAACAGACCCCTATAAGTTCATGTACTGCCGGACTGTCTTCAGATAACTTGGCTATGTCTGCTGCCCCTCATTCCAGTGCAAACACTAATTCAAATAATGGAACAAGTACGTCAATAGATTCATCTGGAGACAATGCTCGGCAAAAAGCTACTGGCCCACTAGGATATGGCGTCACTCGACCTCCGATATCATACGTAATTGATGTTTCTGTTTTTGGAATCTTTTTGCAGTTGTCCTTACTCTTGGGTGTTCTAAATCAGCAACATTTAAATAATACTAAACCTCTAAGTGTTTTTTTGGTGGGTGTAGGCCATGATTTCAGGCCCACAGATTTCTGCGGCACCACTCCAACCACCTGTGCCCGGAAGTTCTTTGTTTTCATATAACATATCTCATCCAACAACAGTATTTTCTGGTGGTTCACAATTTTCAACCAGCATGGTGAGGCTCCTTTGCTGCTGATATAGAACTGTTCAATTGTGTGAAGCTTCTATTTGAAAAGGATGTTTCAATTTATTTAGTACCTTAGTGCTGTATTTTACAAGTAGATTTGGTAGTTTCTTCTATATATATTCCTATAAGCTGTCTAGAACTGTAGACTATGAAAGGCAATGCTTTAGGCTTTAGACTTTAGTGCATAGTAGCCCAGTAGGTTTTATTCAATAACCTATATTGCCTAAGAGCCCGTTCTTTCCATCTGAAAACTGCATACTGTGACGTACAATCATACATACGAATAGTTACTTTGTGCTAGATCTCTTAACATGTTCAATAATTAATGTGTTCTTGTACTCACTTTGTTCCACATTACTTGTCCCAATTAGATTTTCACACAGTTTATGAAAGTATTTATAGAGACGAAAGTATTTATCACCTGATCCTTGGATTGGACAATGCAACTGTGAAACTCTAATTACATGCATTATCGCTAAACAGAGTCATGTATTAACACTCTCTGAATACTTTAGTTTTTCCCTTTTGCACTGTTTGACACAGAGTGCTCAAGTTTGTAGCATATGTGCAACTACTTGAGGTTCTGCTTTTACATAAACTGCTGGTAAATTTTATACAAAAACTTTCATGCAATTTGACTATTTGAGTTATCATGTATGTAATAAAATGACTTTTAAATGTTCTGTACTTCTCTGAAGTTGGGAATGGTAAATAACTTGATTAATAATAAGTTATATTCCCTCTATCACTAGCTAGGTCAAACTGCTTGTTTGTTTAGAAAGGGAGGGAGTCAAAACTTTATAATATGAAGTATATTTGTACCTTTGTGTTGTACTATTATAAATAATCCCGCCCTCCAAAATTAATCTTCATGCCATCTTTTTATGCCCATCCCAAATTAATCTTCCTCTTTCCTTTTAATGAAAGAATTGCGTGGCTGATTTTTTTCTTATTAAATAAGTGTGCCAAGTCAAATCAATAAGATTAGTTTAGGACAGAGCTACTATGTCTGTAACAAATTGTTTCAAAGCTTTGTGTGCTTGTGGATCAGCAGTTTATCTAACACAACCACCTGTGGATCCAACAAATTTGGATTTGTTTTGTGGTTGCAGGATTCTCTGTCTGGGATTAAACAGGAAACAGGGATATCTTTTGCTGCTCAGTCTGTTCCCCAGCAAGCTAGTCCTAGTTTTCCTACATCTAATGCTGCCACTCAAATGATGAAGATGCATCCTGCACCATCTTTTTATATGCCTCCCGGAGTCCCTAAATCTCCTGCAACACCTGGTCCTCCTGGAATAGGTTCAGCTATACCTTTTCCGTCTGGAGATTCTTCTCCATCTCTGAGGCCCTTTGTGCCACATCCTCCTTTTCTGTGTAATCCACCCATTCATCAGCAAGCATATACTCCATATAGCTCTGTGTCTGCTATGCAAATCCCTCATCAGGGACCATGGTTGAATGCACCTGTTGGTGGATTGGTAAGACCACCATTGTCACAATATCCCGCTACCATAACTGGCCCCTTTCCTACGATAGCTGGTACTACCTTGCATTCTCCTGCTACATTTCCTGAAACTCAACCCCCTGGTGTTTCAACAATGGCAGCTCCACATGGACCTTCTCCATCTACAACCTCAGCTCCCCAGTCAATACCAGGTTCAGGGATGCAGGCAGAGTTACCTCCTGGAGTTGGTCTGCACAAAATTCATGTTGATAATTTACTTTCAATTTATTATGTTATGTAGTTACATTGTTCTTTATCTCAGAATGTAGATAGTTCATTTGTTTAAATATTCGTGCTTAAAAAGCAGATGGCAATAAACCTGAAAATGGTGTTGGGACAAGAGATGTAGGTGCAAGCACTAAAGCAGTTGATGCTTGGACAGCTCATCGGACAGATACAGGAGCTGTATACTATTACCATGCATTATCAGGAGTGTCTACTTATGAGAAACCTGCCGGGTTTAAAGTAGAGGTATTAGCTCACTTTTTGTCAAATTTTATTTTGTTCTTTCATCTAGTGTTATGTTACCTCACTTCCATACACGTCTTCTTTAAAATTTTATCCATTGATTATTTCCATGATTGCTTTCTTGGGTGAAAGACAACTTCTATAATCTAGTACCTTTGTTGCACTGCTTTTAAAAAGCAATTTAGGTTGAATCTTGCTCAAATTGCTTAATTTAGATTCTATTAGTTGTTCTCAAACTTAGCAGAGGGCATTCAACTGGTCTGTATAACTACTTGATCTAGTCTAAGCTGTAGGCCTGTACTCTAGAACTCATGTGTTACTATGAATGTTCATTGCTTCACAAGGTTCAGTGTTTTCTATGAGAAATTATATAATAGAGACATTATTCTTGGAAGCGATAGCAACCCATTCCAAATCGATAATGCATTAGTATAGCAGCTTCACATTCTAAGAGATTAATTGATCACTTTTAACCCGTGTTGCACGGAAACATGGCGGAACACAGGAACACAGGAACACGGGGAAATGTGAAATGAGAAAGACCCAATAGAAAAAACAAGTCTTTGGAGAGTTTTCGTAGAGTTTTAGAAACGGAAACACACTCTTTTCCAAGAGTTTCCGTCCTTCATAGCTTTTAACAAGTCTGCCGGTAAGACGGTAAATAAGCTAAACCAACATATATAAAAAGGCATATAGAAGTACTGATGCACCATGTCGTCCATGCTGCTTGCCATCTCGCACTTTCTGTCCACCACCTCACCTTGCCACCTAACATTGGCACGTGGCATGACGTGCCAATTTGGAATGTCATGTAGACGTCTTGCATTATAGGATTTATAGCATGTAAAATGCTTTGCATTAGAGTATTACTACAGAATTATAAGTTACTCCTATCAAACATTCGTCACTGCGTCAATTGTATGGTTTCTTGAGCATAAACCCACATGCTTTTTACAATGTTGGCCCATGATCTTACGTTCATCAATGCCTGCATGCTATAAATCTCAATATCTCATTACTGCCACGCTTCATCCCTTAATAATTGTTCTTTTCTCATATGCAGTCTGACCAAGTAAAAGCGCAACCAACTCCAGTTTCATGGTAAATACTCTGTCTTTTATTAACCTGAGATGTTCAGTTATTTTTCTACACTTCTATCAATTGTTAGCTATTGCCTGTTGAATATATTGTCTTGTTTAAAACAATACTATTAAGAAGAAAATGGATGTGAGAATCTAGGCTTTCAAAGTAGTTTAGGTAATGTTGAATTATGGAGTACACAACTGGCCTGCACGACTAGGGCTATATATATTAGAGTTCTCCACATTTCCACAATTGCATTTGAGTAGCTGGAGCCTGGAAACAAACCATATGAATACTGAGCTTGGTCTAACTTTCTTATTCCTAGAGACACATTAGTTTTTTACACTTTGTTTTATCATTAAATGTTTTTCAATGCATCTAACATGTTTCCCAGTTTCCATGCTCTCACTATCGTAATAGCCTTAAGCTTCCTTTAGTTCCTTCTATTCCTCTCATAGTTGCAACTGTAGAATTAAATGTTTTTATTGAACTCTCTTGGTATCATATATGTTGCATGAAGGAGAGAATTCTACACACACTAGAGTCACAATTTTGACTCTTCAAAAATCAGTGTTACTTCATCTCGCTGCTGTGAACCATTGCTTTTTGAAGGTAGAGTCTTAAGGATGATGTTTAGCTCTCCTTTACCTGCATTTTTTTAATTCATTTTTAATTTGAATAATAATATTTTAAAATTAAAAAGTTGACGTCACCCTAATTAAAGATAATATACTAACAGCACAAGTGCATAAACTAAAAAAGCACTTGTGTCAGTACTGTGTGTGAATATTAAGAGGATGTTCAGAATTGGTTTTCTATGACATGCTAGAAACCAAAAGGTCATTTTCTAAAGCAATCATCTCCCCAAGTGTGGTGTTCATTATCTCATATGGATCAACTATTAGGTTGGAGTCCACGGTATAAGTGTTATACATGTACAGTAAATCTCGCATCTTGAAGATCCTTTTCGGGTGAATTAGACTCAACCAAACATGGTATATGAGCCAAACCCGATTTTGGTTTGTGGGGAGTTGGCCCACTTGATGGCTTGGGGCAATCAATTTAGGGGCTGTTTGGGGCCTATTTGTCCACTTCTTCAGCTGTCCAGCTTTGTTTAGGCTGGCAGGGTGTGTTGAGTATCTCACATCAGTTTGAGTCCATTATATAAGTGTGATAAATATGAACTCTTGAGGATTCATTTAGAGAGGAATGGCCCAATTTTAGAGGGCCACTTGTTCTCTTGTCCACCTGTTAAGCCCAATCTAACAGGGACGCTGTGGCTAATGTCCAAATGTTTTTTACGGGGATCTTGTCCAAATGTTATGCCATCCAATTCATTATATCTTCACTGGGATTACCCATAAAAATTGTAAAAGATCATCGAAGTACTTGATTGCATCAGTTGGCAGCATTAGACAAAACGGCCCTTTCTTTTAGGAGGTTCCTAGTCATGTTTATACTCTTGTTTTTTTGTATGTTTTTTTTTTACCTGGACATACTTTTAGAAGCTATTTCCATGCTATCTTTTCTTCTCAATCAAATAATTCCATTTTTTACATCTGTTTGAGAGGCCCTAGAATTTTATAAACATTTTTCTTGTGTAATTTCAACCAGGGAAAAGTTGTCTGGTACAGAGTGGGCCTTGGTCACTACTAATGATGCCAAAAAATATTACTACAACACTAAAACTAAGGTATGTATGTATGGTGAACAAGTTTGTTCTTGTTTGATTTTAATGTGAAGCATGATACATCACAACATCATGCTTGATGTATTTTGAGACAAAATCCATCAGCATGCAATGTCTTCATCTTATGTCACATACTCACATGCTAAATCCATTTCCTAAGACTGCACCCACATCTTTATGTGTTTCATTGGTTCTCAAGAAACTTAAAACAGTCGTTTTTCATTTTTTTCCACTCAACTTTTCGGGCTAATACCAACTTCATCAATAATCAGTGCCACATATCATATCTCCCCATGACATATAAAAGTTTCTTTGGAGGGATTGCATGTGCGATTGAGAAGACAAGAACAGCAAATATTGTTATAAGAGCTAGTCACCAGATTAATGGAAACAAATCTCTTTCACCAATTGATAAAAAGTTTTCCATCTTTATCAATTAATTGCAATCGCTATCTTTACATCCCATGAATGACCAAGTCAAATCTAATAATTGATGTCAAATACTTACTCCCTCTGTCCCTAAATAAAGTTCCTAGTTTGACATTGTGGGATTTTAGACAAGATAACTTTTGTATTGACTTTCCAAATATGTCCTCCATTAAAGATATGATTGAGAAAGTGAGTTATTAATGTTGTACTATTCACATGGGTAAAGGAGTCTTTTACTTCACATATATTACCAAAAAGGAAGAACAAACTTAATTTTGGGACATCCCGAAAAGGAAACTGGGAACTTAATTTCGGGACAAAGAGAATATCTTATCTTTTTATCTCTCTTATCTTTCTTTTTTTTGGCTCCGATATCATGTATCGATTCATGCTAGCTACATTTGAATTGAAAATGCTGGACACGTAATATGGATATAAGTTATATAACTTTTGCTCTGTAAATTGAAATATCTTCAAGTGGTTGTATAATCCTTTGCTAATGCTTGTAATATCTTATTCCACTCTGGCTCTCCCTTGTGTTTCTTAATTAGTCAAGTAGCTGGCAAATTCCCAGCGAGTTGGCAGAGCCAAAACAGAGGCAAGATTCTGATGCCTTGAAAGCGCAAACAGTGTCCATGGCAAACACTCACTTGCAACCTGAAAAAGAATATACTCCATTGCTTACTCCTGCAATTAATACCGGCAGTCGTGATGCAACAGCTTTGAGGCCATCAGGTGTGCTAGTAACATCTTCAGCATTGGATCTCATAAAAAAGAAGTTGCAGGATTCTGGATCACCTGCCACCCTTCCAACAGCCCCTGCTTTGTCAGGAGCATCAAATCTAGATGGAACTAAAGCAGTTGATTCTTCTGCCAGAGGCCTGCAAAAAGAAAATAGCAAAGATAAGTCAAAAGATACTAATGATGATGGCAATATTTCAGAAACCACTTCTGAATCTGAAGCTGAAGATAGTCGGCCCACCAAGGAGGAGTGCACCACTCAATTCAAGGTATACTCTTTCTTGGAAGATGATCATGGCTTACATTTTATTCCTCATTTATAGGCTCACTTTATCACTTTCCTTGTGTTATTAATTTAAGGATGCAGTTTCATGTCTAATTGCATGCACTTTCCATCATCTCAATTGATGCTTTGCTTTGGGTATGATTAGTTAGGTTTTCCTCTTAGATCTTTATTCTCTGTTGACATTTTCATGAGTAACTAGTTTGGGTTAATCTTGGTTCCGTACATTGATGTGAGTCATATAATTAGGAACTCCGCCATTATTGAAGTTCTTTTGTATATCCTTCCTCAGTCCTTTTCTTTCAAACATTAGTATAAATTAGAGCCTTGCTGGATAGTTATTTTGAGGTTGCTAGGATTCAAGGGAACAACAGAAGATCAGAGACAGTCTAAGTAGTTAAATCGCTATTCGGTGGCAACTCGTTCAAGGGCCGAGTAACTATTAACATCGATAACTCGGCCATGTATTAATTAAAGCTAAAAACATAAATGCCCCAAAATTTTAGTAATATATCGGTCTTATAATTCTTTAATATGAATAAAGTAATAATAATCATAAAGATGAAGTAGCAATAAATCCCAACAATCATAAACATTCTAACTTCCAAGAAAATCAATCACCTGATAATACTTTATCAATTTTGAACTTTTGTCCTAAAGACCTAAACTAATTTTCATTGGGTTTAAGGCCGTCGTTTTCTTCTTTATCCTCCATGTCCCGAAACCTAGACTGACTTTGTAATCATTTTTTTTTCCAAATTTTAAAATACCTATTAATAATCCATTAGTTGCATAATAACCCGATTTAGTTTCAACTTTTTAGATTTAACCGGTTAACCCCAAATAAATCAATTTTACTAACTGCCGAGTAACTTGGTGAGTCAATTTTGTCAACGAGTAGTAAAAATTGCCGGTACTCGGCGAGTTACTTGAAAAAATGGAACAATGCGATTCGGAATACTACTCAACAAGGCCCTACCCCGAGTAGCAGGTACACGACGATTAGATAACACAGGAGACAATATTGTAGTTACACAAAACTAGTCAAGGAAACTTCCTACCATGTTTCAGATGCAGCGCCTTAAATAGTAAAGGTGCTGTAAGGAATATGAAACAGCACGGTTGCTTTTATTTTCTGGAATTATCAATTCATGATGAATTTATCTTATGGTGGTTTACATCCTCAAGGACATTTCCATACATCCAATCTTAATCTCTTCTCAGCTTATTTTTTGGAGAGGAGTTTCATAATTGACATTGTGTTTCAGAAAATTGTTCAGAACTTTCAACACATCATCCATCATACATGCTTCTACTTAAGTCTTCAACAAACTGCTTGACCCTAAACCATTTTATGTCATTTGAATGCTAGAAACCAAAAGGTATGACAGTTGACACTTTCAGTTTTTGAACACTTCCTCATTATGCTTCAAAAATTAATTGCTGCTGGTGTTAGGTCCACAGTTCATGTTTATAATTTCTACTCTGTAGTCTCTGTATATATATGCTGAATTTAACGTGATTACTTCATTTATCACGTTCAGGAGATGCTCAAGGAACGTGGAGTAGCGCCTTTTTCAAAGTGGGAGAAAGAGCTCCCGAAGATAGTTTTTGATCCACGGTTTAAGGTTTTTGATAAATTGAATTCCATCTTTTCAGCTCAACTCTTCCTCATCCTCCCTCCATCCCATTGGACTTTGCCAACTTTCCCTTTTTGGTTGTCTCAAAAAACTTTGCCACTTTCCCATTAAAGTAATTAATTTGTAGTCCTGCTCATTTCTCTCTGCCATGCACAAAGTTCAACCACACAATTTTTATTATTCTTATTTCCCACCTAATTCAAAGTGTGCAATGTCCATTGGGACGGAGGTAGTATATAATATTCTTCTAAGTGCTTGGACATTTAGAGGCCGTTTGGCAACACTGTTTTTTGGCTTATCAAGTTTATCAGCCAACTTTTTCACCAAACACGTAACTTATGCTTTCGCGCGTTGAATTGTGTAACAAGCAGAAAAAGTAAGGTTTGAGTTACTTTTCTTGCTGTATTGGCTGAAGTTATTGTAGATGACCATTTTAGCTATTTTTACATATATTTTTTTTCTTTATTTTATTAATAAAATATATTTTAATTTTTTTTCTCAAATCAGCAGAATCAGCCAATGTAGCCACTTCATCCAGAACTTCATAAATTTCAGCAGAATCAGCCAAATCGGCCGATTTTCGTGCTACCAAACAGGCTCTTAGTTGTACATGTAGCATCTATGTTATTATACTATAGTACCTATATTTGTAAAACTATAATGTAAACATATGGTACAAAGTCTTAATATTCTTATCTCGGGTAGAATACACATTATTCAGTATGAACAAATGCATAGGTATCCGTGAATGAACTAGGACTTGTTATATTAAGATGACACACGCTTCATTATTTCAACAGTCAGCCATTCAGCATTGCTGCTAAATCCACTTGGTGGATTAGAGTTACAAATGCTAATGACATTATCTTATATTCTTAATAATTTTACGTACACCGTGTTTCTTGTTCTTGTAACTGGATAAGAATTGCTGCTTCACTTTTCTAACTCTGGTGGTTTTTTAGGCTATTCCAAGTTACAGTGAAAGAAAAGCTATTTTTGAGCACTATGTGAAGACACGTGCTGATGAAGAGCGGAAAGAGAAGAGAGCTGCTCAAAAGGCTGCTGTTGAGGGTTTCAAGCAATTACTGGAAGAAGCAAAGGAGGTTAACAACTTGCTAATACTCTTATTTTTCTTCAAGCAATTAGGGAAGTTTATCACACAAAACCTAGTAGTCTTCCAAATCTATCTTTGGTGGTTTGATGTTTTAAAGCATATGTAATTGCCTTATTGATCTGCTTCTGTTGTTCTTCCTGGATTCAGGATATCCATCATAACACTGATTACCACACGTTTAAAAAGAAATGGGGCGATGATCCACGGTTTGAGGCACTGGACAGGAAAGAAAGAGACACCCTCTTCAATGAGAGGTATATACTACTTCCTCCGGTTATTATTATAAGGCAGAATTTGGCTTTACTCAGACCAATGGAATGATTAGAAACATCTAAAATAATCTTCACTTTCCTACATGCCCTTTAAAGACTTTTATGGGTGATACGCTTCATAGTTTTCAAAGGGGAAAATTGTGGAAGGAAAAAATTAAATCTGCATTGAAAATATAAAAGTGATATATTTAGGCCACCCTAATATGCCATGAGTATAGGAGCAGAGGGAGTATTGTTTTTTACACCTGCAGAAGGATCACTGGCTTGGTTAAATGGTTGAACCTCAATAATTAAATGGTTTTTTACATGTATGCATGTTTTGGAACCTCAATATTAAAGCCTGCGGGATCAGTTATTTGTGTTTATGTGCCATTTTACTGATCTAACAAGTATACATATACTGTAGGGTGCTTTTTTTAAAAAGGATTGCTCAAGAAAAAGCTCAAGCAGCTCGTGCAACCATTGTATCTGACTTTAGGTCCATGCTTCAGGAGAAGGGAGACATAAGTTTGAATACTCGTTGGTCAAAGGTTGGTTTTGGTATGAAGCTTGTTGCTATTTGTTTGCAGTAGCAATAACATTTCAGTTTTCTATTATGGAGGATATAATTGATGACATTTTGTGTGTACCTATAACCTATATTTGGACGAAGCGCCACTTCAGGCATAAAATGGGCTCTAATGATTTCATTCTTTCATGTATATTTTCTTCACATGCTAGCTATCCCCTTTCTCTCTCTCACGCTTCATGAAATTTATGGAGGAAGTATCTTCTTAGATTTCAGTTTGGTCCTGACAGTTTTTTCTAATACAGTCCTTAAGAATTATGTCTGATTAGAAGTCTCTCTATTGGACAGAGTAAAGTAATCAAGATAAAGATATTACTAACACTGTTTTTGAAGGGATACTTTATGGTAAAATTAAGGATATGCTTGGTTGGAGGTTTCAGGAGAAGGGTCAATAGTGCTTCTCATTACCCACTTTTGGAGAATCAACCATACCCACACAAAAGGGTTGGGATTCAAAGAATTCCCGTTCCTATAAATCTCTATTATCACACTCATTCCGATACCTTTAAATTTACCAAGCACCCCTATGAAGTTACAAAAAAATAACGACAAGGCTTTTTGGGGTGTGCAGTTCACTACTCTGCAAGGCGTTTTCTATGGTACATAAGGATTTTCGTTATATAGGTTGTATTTTATTTTGATGTGTGTTGGTTTTAAGGCATTTTATACGTGCAAATCATTCGTTACATTCCACTTGAAGTAAAATTTTATGCATGTTGGTATGTGTAATCTTTTATGTACTTCAATTTTGAGGAGTTCATTGACTCGGTTAGGTTTGAAAATTGTAAAACCAAAAACGAAACCAAATAACATAATTTGTTTTTTCCCCGGTTTTCGGTTAGCTCATTCCTGTCAATTTTTGTCATTAGGTAGTTTTCAGTTGGTTTCACCCAGTAAGTCGGTTGTAGCTGGTTTTTGCCGATTTTAAAATGTTAAATCTTAAATTGCAAACTGAACAGCCTGTGATACGGTGTTTGATGTCATTGAAATATATTACTCCTAGTAAAGTACACGTGAAAAAGAATTGATATGCATACACTACTCTTGTGATCAAAGGGTTTGTTTCCCAAAGCCTCAAAGGTAACTGCATATATTGATTTGTTTAATCATTATTTTTGGGCATGCTTTGTCTATTGGTTAGGATCAATTATTATTTTTCTTTATTGTTCATTGTTGGATTAGTATTTCATATATCTTAATAGTTCTTTCAATTGAATGAAGGACAGTTGCTTAATCTAATATTTATTCTTATTTATTGTGTTAGTCTATTATTTAGTTGTGTTATTTAATAAGGAAAGACTCTCTATACTCATTATATTATGAGGTATCATTTGCAATTCATAAAATCAACTAGTTCCAATCAAGTTGAGTTTATGTGAAAGAAAGATGAGTCTCCTTTTCAACGTCGAGTCTGCCATATCCCAACCACTTGAGATATTGGTGACTTCACTGTATACAGCTATTGTATCTACCTATAACACCTTTTCACTGGAATCATGACTTTTTTTTTAATATTAGGTCAGAGACAGTATAAGAAATGACCCGCGATACAAGGCTGTCAAGCACGAGGACAGGGAGGCTTTATTTAATGAGTATCTTTCTGAGCTAAAGATGGCTGAAGAAGAGATATCACGAGTAGCAAAGTCAAAGAATGATGAGGAGGTGAGAAATGAGATAGTGATTCCTGGCCATTTTTAGGCTATGTTTGGAATGCGGATAATTGTATACATCATCATCATCATCATTACCCCAATGCCGCAAAGGGTCCCACCTATGGTGGTGGTGGGGTAAGGGGGGTCGGATGTACGCAGTCTTACCCCTATTCTAAAGCATAGAGAGACTGTTTCACTAAAGCATAGAGAGACTGTTTCCGGATGACCCATAGTGAAATTCGCGTAAAAAATTGCATGGACTTACTGCTGCTTCATAACAAAGAAGCGCAAACAGTTTAGTGAACCATTTTGCTTTATTCCATCATATTCCCAAGCCAAAAAATAGTGAGTCTTTGGCTCCATTGCAAATGCGGATAATTGTATACAAAGTAAAAAATTGCAAAGGGAAGTTTTAATTTATTTTTATTTGCTGTTGGTTGTATCTTGGAAACTACAAAGAAAAATTAAATTAGATTAAAGCTTTTTTAGTTTTTGCATATACTTCGATTTCATATTCTTTACACATTATCTCCGTCCTATTGGACATTGCTAACTTTGTGTTGGGTGTGAAATAAGAAAAATAAAACTGTGGTTGAGGTTTGGGTAGAAGAGGCAAAGAAGTTGAACTATAAATTAATTACTTTAAAAAGAAAGTGGCAATGTTTTTGGGACAAAGAAAAAGAAAGTTGGCAAAGTCTAGTGGGATGGAGTAAGTATATAACAAGTTCAAGCATTTATCTAAAATTGATTTATTGAGTTTGATTTACTTGTATCCCCCCCCCCCAATTGTTTCAAATTTCCATCTGTTTTCCTACCTGTTTTCATTCTCTAGCATTTCCAGGTTTCAATGGGATCTGCAAGTTCCATTTTTTTTTCTTTTTTTGTTCTATCATCATTCATGTCTTGCGTATGCTGTCATGTTAAAATGTCAAAGTTAGACTACTTGTGCATAATGTGTCTTCTTTTTTTTTCCTCATAGATCCGAGTGAATCTAAATGCATATATGTGTGAATATTTTGCTTGCTTGACTTAGTGTGAGCTACTTGGTTGGTCCCTCTTAGGAAAAATTAAAGGAAAGAGAGCGAGCTTTGCGGAAACGAAAAGAAAGAGAGGAACAAGAAGTCGAGAGGGTACGGCTGAAAACTTGTAGAAAGGAAGCGGTTGAGTCTTATCAGGCTTTGCTGGTTGAAACCATTAAAGATCCTCAGGTAATTGTGGAAAATCGGGTTGAATGGTAAATATCTAAAATGTCAACCTGTGGACATAAATTTACAATAGAAGGATTTGTACTTGAGTCTGAGGGTTGAGTACACATTTAAGATATAGTTTGGTTAGATGTAATGAAATGATCAAATACACGTGTAAAGGAAATTTGCACTAAAAATAAATGGAGTATTTGGCTTATCAAAGGTATCTAATTTCTTTATGATGCTGTCCTTTCAAACTGCAACTTCACATGTAGTCTTTCAACTGAAATAGAATATGTCACCCCCCCGTCCCATTCTAAGGTTCTCACTTTTCTTTTTTGGACGTCCCATATAAAGGTTCACATTTCTACTTTAGGAAACAATTTATATTCTCAAATGGCAATTTAATTATCAAATATAAAAAATAATGCATCTATAACATCACAATTATCATCAATGACCCCATATATGTGCTAACTATATCTCTACATGTACGATTTTGCATAGTTCGTATTGTTCACATTCTTGTCCCCCCTATGCAAACCCAGGCATCTTGGTCCGAGTCAAAAACAAAATTAGAGAAGGATCCTCAAGGGCGTGCAGCTAATCCTCATTTGGATCAATCTGACTTGGAAAAACTCTTCCGGGAACATGTTCAGACCTTGTATGAGGTAATGCTTGAAATTGCTTACAAGTACTTTTTTTTTAATTGTTTTGATCTAGGTCACATGAGGACACCTTTAATTCACAACTTATACTGCATTTCTGATTTAGAGGCTTGGACACCATAATGTAGCTTTTGGTAGAATTCAGAATTGGGCCGAGGTCGATCAACTAAAACTTAGTGCACACGAGTCAAACCACACTAGAAGATTGTATCTAATCAATTAGCAACTCTAAAATCTAAACTAAGTCGTTATAAACCCATATGTCTTATTTAATTTGTTCAAATTTGAACTAAATCAAACCCCAACAAGAGCTAGAGTCTGTGTTGAACCTTTAAACCTAGGCCAACAAGGTTAGGATGTCCGTTTTTACTTGGTGTGTGATATATGGGTAAATTCCAGATTCGGGATACCCTTAAACACGGTTCTTTTAATATTGTTGTGCCACTTCTATGTGTTATATGATGTAGCGGTGTGCCCATGACTTCCGGGTCCTCTTGGTTTCTCTTATAACTGCCGAAGCTGCTTCTCAACACGGCTCAGAAGACGGAAAAACAGTGCTTACCTCCTGGTCATCAGCAAAGGTACTTCTCAAAGCTGATCCTAGGTATGCTAAGGTGCCTAGAAAAGACAGGGAATCCCTGTGGCGAAGACACGTTGATGATATCCAGAGGAGGTTAAAGTTGGGAAATGAACAAGATGCTGACAAGTCATCAAGGAATAGAAGTCCGGGTGACTCTCTGAATTTTTCAGGTGGATCTAGGAGAACTGAGAGAAGATAAGATAGTTTTTTGGCTGACAAGATGAATTTAAGTTTGTAAACTAAGAGGTTGAAGAGTGGTGTACTATTCTTGAGTTTGTAGTTTAATTTATTAATCACGGGTGACTGGGTGAGTAAGCATCCATGCGTAATATTTTCTCGGATGAATGCAAGCCCCTTTATATTTTCCGGGATTAGTGATGACCCCCTAAGTTCAACTCTTCTGTTCCTTCCCATTGTCACGACCCTAATAATATACATAGAAGATTTGTTCTTATCCCGCCCCCGCCCCGTTCTCTGTAGCTTCTTCAATAAGGGCGTGTTCATACTTCAGAAAACAGTGCCTTGAGACTCAAGGCTTGAGTAAACGTTAGTGGATTTGATTACATTTTAAGGATTTTTCTTGGTCAAAGACTCAAAATGTTGAAGTCCCCTTTAGATTCGGAGGTGTATCAAAACGCCGATATAGAAAATGTATGCATAAATTTACAGCGTGGCCTTACTGGTTTGGGAAAACCGGCAAATTATTAGGGCCCGTTCGGTATGGTTGTGTGTTTTATACTTTTACTACCTCCGTCCCAATTTACTTAGCCATTTTTGACTTTTCCAGTTAAAGATGGTAAACTTTGATCAATTATTTTAACTAATATATTTATGCAAAATATAATGATGTTATACTTTTATGATAGTATTTTTAACAAAGAACATTTTCATATCATTTTCATATTATCAATATTTTCTCTATATAAACATACAATCGGTCAAAATTAGACGCTGTTGACTTGAAAAGTCAAGTTTGGCCAAGTAAAATGGGATGGAGGGAGTATGTTTTTTGTTTTTAGAAATCAAAAAACTGTTTTCTGTTTTTTATTTTCACTTTTCTGAAAACAGTTTTGATTTTCACTGTATTCGTATGTTAGCAAATACGAAGTACGTAGTACACTTTTACACACTTCCATGATGAGTAATTGAGTATTGTTTCAGAAAGATTAAAAAACTTCCTGGCCAGTTAGCAAATACAATTTTTCTAAGCATCCAGTCGATTAAAAAAATAGACCATAAACTAAATCTTTTTAAAACAGCTGAAAGATGATAAATAGAAACAGATGAAAAAAACAATTCGTACTATTCTGGAATTAGGAAACGGAAGTAACTTTCCTCGAACATGTTTTGTTTTATTTTTAAAGAAAAAAAACTGAAACTTGAAAACCGCAGCGATACCGAACGAGCCCTTAATGTTTTAGTCAATTTCTTCCTGATGACCAAGGAAAAACTATCAAATACCGAACGAGCCCTTAATGTTTTAGTCAATTTCTTCCTGATGACCAAGGAAAAACTATCAAATAAGTTTTTGTACTATATTTATGAATGATGATTAAGTCCTCGTGCTTCAAAATCACTCATTCAACCCCATGAAATTATAGAAATTGCTCAAATAAGTTATGCACAAGGTCACCGTTCGGGTGCCGGTTAACAACTCCCCCTTAGGCTTGGACCCAGTTCGGGCCACCCGGCCCGGGAACTGGCCCGACTCGGTACTGTTTGGGCCCGGCCCGGCGTGAGAACCGAGTACCGGTACCGGGTCTAGGCCCGGTTTGAAGGGGAAACCGGGGACGGGTACATGCTTAGAGAATTGAGAACCGGCCCGGCCGGTTCCGGGCCCAGTTCGGGCCTTTTCAGTTTTTGTTTTTTTGTTTTTTTTTTTTTGTTTGGGGCTTTGGGCTGGGTTTAAATGGGCTGGAATGGGTGTTTCAGATGGGTTTGTGGGATGGGGGGTAGGGTATAAATAATCAAGAAAACAAAAAAAAATTAGGACCGGAGCCGACCCGGCCCGGCCTGGGCCCGGAGCGGCACCGGTCAACTACCGGGCCGGTCCCGGTTCTCACATAAATTTTTTGGGCCCGGCCGGGCCTAGGCCCGACCCGGAACCGGGCTCGGTTCAGTCCATGACTACCCCCTGTAACATTAAAATAATTGAAATAACCCACACATGTAATGTATTCATTACAAATAACTTCATATAATTAAATTCTTTTACTAAATTATATATATATATTTAGTAATGAGAAATAAATTAGGTTTATTACAAAAATAATATTCCCTCCGTCCCGAAATTATCTTCATTCTCTCCTTTTCGGTCCGTCCCAAATTTATCTCCTCTTTCCCTTTTTGGCAAAGGATTTGTGGTTCACAACCATTCTTACACATTTCTCCCTCCTCTGCACAACTCTCCACCACACATTTCCCACTATCTTAATCCCCGTGCCCAGTCAAAACCGAAGTTAATTCTGGGACGGAGGGAGTATAAAATTTGCTATTCTTAATTTACACAGTTAGTGTGCTTGTTTTAAAAGAATACATTAATCATATTTAATGTAATTGTTTTATAATGTAATACTCAGCGGCGTGGTTGGGAGGCCAATCGGCCCCCTGACCCGCTCCATATATTAATTTCATTTAAATTATTAGAGTAAAAAAGTTTCGTGTAAAAAATTCAAGAAAAAAAATCGTTGTATCGACTCAGCTAAATATATTGCTCTGGATATTGGACTTCCATCTAATCTACACTAGCGGTCGGTCTCCCCTCATCATGTAGGTTTCCTAGTGCCACCGGTTTGATTCGTGCGGATTGATTCAGAGTTACTAATGTTGGTTGTCTATTGGTTTGTTTATGTTATGATTCTTGTTTTGTCACTGCACATTCATTTCATATAATACGATAGTATATTCATAACTAGCTTTGTGCCCGGGCGTTGCCCCGGGTAGAACTCTCATATAGAATATTTGGTTTATAATTTTGTTTAGATCTTAACTACTATCTCCCTATTTTTTTAGTTTGCTACACTTTCTTTTTTGGTATGTATTCAAAAATTTGCTACAGTTTCCCTTTTGGTAAGTTTTTCCTTTAAAAATACTCAATCACCCTTACTTTTTCTACTTTTTATCTTCTCTTTCATACTTTTCCACTATCTCTCCAACTTTTTCTACACTATTCATAACCCCTACTATTTCACTCTTAAAAAAATGTGTCAACACCTATTGTAGCAAACAAACAAATATGGAGGGAGTATATCTTTTGTATAAAGTTTGTAATTTGCATTTCCAAAAGCATTGAAATGTTTAGTAATATCATATAATAAAAAATAAAATAATAATAATAGTAATAATTATAATAATAACAACAATAACAATAATAATAATAATTATGATTATGATGATGATGTTGATGATGATGATGATAATATTGATAATAATAATGATATTAATAATGATATTAATAATGATAATGATGATGAATTGATGGTAATAAATTCATCATCCACATTTTATAACGTTTTGAGATGTATTCTCCTAATTGAAATTTGGTAATTTAGGACTCATAGAGAACTGAATAAAATAAGTGTATTTTAAGAAAGAGTCACTGATTTGATATGTTCACATACTATATATTTCCCCTCTTTCTATAGTTTTTAGTTGTAGACATGAGTATTAAAGATTGGTTTTATTTCTCATAATACCAAACTCAAGTATTATTAAATTTCAAAATTAGCAGTGTTGTCTAACATTAAGGAAGGGGATATTTAATTCAGAATCTGGATTCATTGCATTTATCATTGTTAACAATCCACAATCAGTAATCGTATTCGGTGCATGTCTATAGATTAGTTAACCAGTCTCAAGATAGTGTATCAATGTGTCAATAAATATAATTAATTTAAAGTTAATATCACCTTTTGTATGACAGGTAGCTTGGGAACTCACCACTGATATTGTTGATTTTCTTCAAAGTAGAACTAATGGGCCTTGTGCTTTTTGCTAATGACTTTGGCTTCCTTGCCCAAGCGTATTTATATTTGTATAGTTAATAGAGTTTGAATGGATTTTTTTATGTTAATAGTGAAGTTTATTTTTTTTATGTTAATGAAGTTTAATAATGAAGTTTATCTTTATTTATTATGTGTGTTTGATAAGGTGAATTCCATGTGTATTGGATAAGCTGTTATTCGATTCACTATAAACAATTATTTTTATCTTGACAATAATGAAATTATATTTTATTTATTTTTAGTTGATAAGGAGAATTGCATGATTATCAAATAAGTTTCATGCGGTGAATTGGTTATGAGGGTTATCTTTATAAAACCAGTGCCTATATTATTTAAATCTTTATGTATTATGTGTATTTGATAAGGTGAATTTCATGTGTATCCAATAAGCTATTATACAATTGCCTATAAACAATTATTTTATCTTGACAATGAAATTAATTTTTATTTATTTTAGTTAATAAGGGAAATTCCATGTTTATCTAATAAGGGGGTGTTTGGATCTGATTCTTAAAACTGCTTCTGCCCCTTCAAGTTATGATGGTTATCTTTATAAAAATAGTGCCATTTAAATCTGCCTCGATTCAATTTTAATTGTAAACAATTATGGGCAAAATCGAAAATGATCAATTTTAATAATTAAACTCAATTGCAATTTAAATATAAATCAATTTCAATTGAAATGACTCTACTTTTTTACTACTAAAGTAGATTATTTAGTAGAAAACATAAATCATAAAATAGAAAAAGAAAACGTGGGAGGCAAACTAATGAGAAGCGGGGAAGAAACAAAATTATACTATGTATAAAATAAAATACAAAGGAAAAGAAAAAAAGAGCAAATAACGTGAAATAGATAAGGAAGAGAGGTCACCATCCTAATTACTATTTTCAATGTGGTCAAGAATTAGTTTCCCTAGCGAGATCTCTCGCGTAGGGTTTTTACTTCGCCGCCCTGGTGCAGCGTTTCTTTCAATTGACGCAGCACTGCGCCGATTGTCGTGGTTTGGACGTAGCTCGGGATGGATGATCGTGACAGTGAGAAGATGGCGGAAGAAGCGAGAGAGAGACGTAGGGATGATCGGGACATGATTAGCGTGGAGAGGCGTAACGCTCCCTTCGATGACATGGATTTGGGTCATACGGCGGGTACGCCACTGAAAGAGGGTATCAATCGAGCGACGGTCCAACCTCCGCCTGAATCACCACCATGGGTTGTACGAGGTGCTAGAGTCCGTGAAAGTTTTCCTAGTCGTTTTTATCTGTTTGTCATTTGTTTTCTTGTGTTCATCTTTGTTGTTGGTTTTGACAATTTGTTTGAGTTTTTTTAGCCTCGCTTTTGTCATTGGGTATGGTTGGATCTATGGGAACAGGTTTGGCTGTGTCAAGCTCATTACATGGTTAGCGATTCGTGTTGCTCTTTCAGGGGTGACCGTCTCAAAGTCTCACCATAGGGTTATAGACTTACAGTCGTAGTTGTTGGAGTTTCAGTTGGTGTCCGTTTTATTTTCCCTTTGCTTGATGTAATGATCCTGAATCATTTGATATGAATAGAGGCGTGTTTTGATCATAAAAAATGTGCTCAAGAATTACA